GTGAAGGATGGAATAATAAAGAAATCAAATTATTTTGTTTTCCGCTGGCATTGCACATGAAAATTGCAAAAGGAAATGATGAAAGTTCAATGCACGGTACTGAAGAAGACTTCTATAACTGTACAGTTTAGGGGATAACTCTTGAATTACTTGATCTTGCTGATCGTGTGCCAGCTCATGAAGTGAATTGGTTTGTTAGCTTTCACTTTTGCCAGTTATTATCCTCCTTCTGCTTGTGGCAATCCTTTCTTTACTCCTTTATAAGCTGCAATAAAAAATGCCGAATTAAGATGTCAATAAAATTAAACGTAGCACAATAAATGGACGCTGATAACCCTGATGTCGTTTAACCTTTAAAGCACAGTCCAATGTGCACTGTGGGTATAAAGCCATTCCTCTGAGTCTTCTGTTCTGAGAACTCCCACTAATGATGGAACTTGTTAAAAACAGCTTAAAATGGTTACAAATATTACGGATACGCGATTTTCTTTTCCCCCCACGAATGTTGATTTGTTTTGTCACGCGTGAATTGATGCAGATATGCGATTTTGTGGATACAATACGGACGATTTGCTATGCTTTTTCTTTGGCGAGCTGGTTGTAAAAGCCAGGAGGAGGTAGGCGCACTCTGTTTTCTTCCCTGTCAGTAACATGGCATGTTTTCTGTTCTCGAAGGGGGCACAAGCGAAAGTTGGAAGACGACGGAGTGGGCAGCGATTCCAGTAAGCTGTCCAGCAACGAAGATGACAGCAGCTCAGAGGCCGACGAGATGGCAGCAGCACTAGAAGCTGAGCTGAACGATTTCATCTGAAGCGGGTGTTTGAAAACCGTTTACTTAATGTAACAGATCTCAGACTTTTAACAGAAGACCCTGGAATGTTGTAAATTTATTGCCAATCTGTAGCATCATTATGTCAGAATCAATAGCCAGATTTTGCAATGAAACCTCTTGCGAGTATTCTTTTTACCAAGGGAACAAAATTCCTGTTTTTTTTCCCTCTCATTTTAACTGTAAAAAAAAAAAAATGGGGTTATCTGGATGTGCTGGGTTACAGTCGGGATGGGTAGGGGTGGGTGGGGTTTGGGGAGAGCAAAGGTAGGGGTGAGTGGGGTAGGGTAGGGCCATTTCTGGAATGTAGTAGTATTACAGTAGATTGGTGTGCCAAGCCAAAGATTGGGGATCATCACGACAGTGAGGAACACTTGTTAAACACTGGATGAGAGCAAAAACTTTGTGATCTGTTAACATCAAGTAAATTCTTCATCGACCTTTTTTTATGAAGGGGTCATTACTAAGAACATGACTGATAAAGTTTTCTGGGAAGGGTGAGGCCTCAGAATGCAGTGATTTGATTCAGTAAATAGGTTCTGTTGTTTCTCATGGTTTTAAAGCAAGGTTGTGTTACAGACTAGTTGGGTTCTTCAGAAGAACATTGTGTAGATTTTTAATTCTAAGCATCTGTTCAACTTGGGATCTTGGCACAGTGTGCTGTGCAGTCCTAAACTGCCATAAGCCGCCTTCTCCATCTCATCCATTTTCTCTTTCATGCAGAAAAGTAATGATAGGATTTCCTAGTTAAGGATTTTATTTTTTCCTTGTTTGCAGGACTGATGTAAAGTTTTTGTATATCCGATTTCATATTTGACACACTGAAAATTTCTTTCATTAAATAAAGATTTAAAAAGTTATTTTGTACATGTTGTGTAAGTGACATTCTTTTCTTCTCTTTGCCACTACTGATTCAATAACTAAATGCAAGTTCTATTCTTATTTAACACTTGTTTTGATAAATCACAGGGGGCTGTCTTCCATTTTATTTTGTTTTCATTCCTGGCGTTCTGATGAACAATCAGAATCACTCAGAATTTACAGCCCAGAAACCGGCAATATGGCCTAACTTCTCTTCATTGCTGTTTAAGCTTCACAATGTCTTCTCACCCAATCAGCAAAACCTTCTACTTTTTACTTCTTCACGTACTTACCAAGCTATCGCCGAACTACAAGTACTCAATGAAGAGACAGAATTTTCCTAGTTTTCTTTGTGTTGTATTTATCAGTCATGATGAGTAACAGCAAAAATTATATAAAATCTATATTGCAGAAACAGACCAATCTGCCCAGCTAATCTCTGCCAGCAATTATGCTGGATTGCAGTGGACCAGAAAGACAGCTCACCACCATCTACTCAATTAGGGATGGGCAATAAATGCTGGCCCAGCCAGTCACAACCACATATAGAAAGAAAAATATAAAGAAATTGCTCCATCTGAGTCTTGTCAAATACACCTTCATCCAACCTGGTTAAGCCCCAATGAATTCACAAGTGTTTTTTTGTTGCTAAATATATCAGTGATTCAGATCATGATGTTTGGAGCTTTCTAACCCCTCTAAGATAACTGAAAACAGACAGCACTCAACCAACCCAGTGTTTGCAAGCCACAAAACAAAATGTCTAGTGTTTGATGTGATCCCATGATTGGGCAGCACATGCTGGCCTATTAATAACTACATCAAGACCAATTTAAGGAAACCAGTCAAGCATATTACAGTGCATCCAGCTTGTTTAAGATAAGCCATTATACATTCATATACAGGATCGTTTATTTGCAAACGAAAGGAATGTGTTCAAGCCTTCTGCCTTTTTGGAATTACCTGGAGTTTGGAGAGCCTATATTTCCCCACTGCTTTCTCCATGCCAATGCCTCAGCCAATCAGAGTTGACTTTCGAACCACTCGTACCCTCTTCTGCAGTAATGTAAATTGTGATTCTCTGAAAGTTGACATTCTTGCATTACTCCTGACGAGTGCAGGGTGAAAAGCTTCAGCAACATGTCTTTTATTTTCAGCAATACTATGACTGCATTTCTAATGGAAGGCCAATAAAGGGAAAATTTTGTGCACCATCTTCCCTTACTGTGATGTCATTGATACTAACATTTGTACACGTACGGTGAAAATTTGCTTCTTCTAATTTCATTATTAGGGAAAAATGTTCTATTTTCAGAAGTAATTGCATCTGTTATTTTTCTATGGATAAAATCTGTGTCTAATTTTTTCTATCTTTAATTTAAAATCTTACTTGTACATGCATTTAAGGTAACATCTTCCATCAGGTTTATTATCTTTTTTCAGGCATTTCTCTCTCTCAGTTTCCACCTTACATCTCATGAAGGTGATGACAGTCTATGCGTGCTTCTCTGGTGCCTTGCCTAACTGTCCACTATTCAAGCACTATTTGGCTGGCTGTTCACCAACAACGGCATCGCAGCTCACCAAACCAGTTCCCATTGAACGACTCCTGCTTCCGGATGATAGCAAAAGCAGCTGAGTAGCAAAACCATGACTGAGGCAATAAGGAAAATCACAGCAGTCTTAGTCAGGTAACTCAGCACTGGAGTTGAATCTGGGATGACATTAATCTACAGGACAGAACTATGGATGCTGGAAATCAGAAACAAAAACAAAAATTGCTGGAGAAAACTCAGCATGTGTGGCAGCATCTGTAGAGAGAAAGCAGAGTTAATATTTTAGGTCCAGTTTTCAAAAAGGATCTCCCTGGAACTGAAATGTTAACTCTGCTTTCTTTCCACACATGCTGCCAGACCTGCTGAGTTTTTCCAGTAATTTGTTATAGACGATGCCCACTATCAGAGACCACCCCAAGTGTATGTGCAAGCCTCAAAGTTTTATGTTGACAGGCTGAATCTTTGTTTAACATGACGTTCTGTTTCAGTAAGAGAAAGGGTATGCTGACAGAATTCTTCAAGAGTTGTCAAATGAACCTCAAGACCAGCCAGTAATTATCCCACCTGTGCCGTACTGTTTGGCCTCTAACATATGTAATCTGAATTTCCCAAAATTTTTATCAACAGTAACTTTGGTGCTCTTGTGATGCAGTGGTAGTTTGGTAGTTGGTATGTGATGTTTGGTAGTTCAGAATAACATATTTATCACAAATGGCTCAAAGGAATTTGCTATGCTTCTATTCACAATGCAGATTTTGCTTAGTGCATCTTATTTTTCCACTTACATTTGTATTAAAGGTTATTTTTGTCAGCGCACCCATTATATTTTTCTCTCTCCGATGCTGACTCTACCTGTGCGATCTGATAACTCAGCACAGCCCAGGAATGGAACCTGTGATGATCTTAGTTTGCATGATTCAGTTCTCAATGCATAAACATGCTGTCAAAGACACTCCCGTCCACCCGGCAAGTTTTGTTTCAAACAACATGGATCTTTGATATCCAATTTCGATACAGTGGAAGTGAATGCTGACAGAATTTAAGAGATGTCACATACCAAATGAATCTTAAGACTAGCTGTAATTATCTCGCCCTGTTTTAATTATTATTTGGTGTCCAACCATCATATTCGTGCATATTCAATTTTCAATAAATATTTTGTCTACCTAAGTTACAGCTATGCATTTTGATTTTCATTATTGACACTTTTACCTCTATTTCTGCAGATTGTATACATTTTAACATGTAAACCTCTTTAAAGAACTGAACGTGTTTGCCGTTCAAATTTCTAGCAGTCTATTTATTCTTTAACAACTAATAAAATAAAGCATGCCAAACTGTTATTGAACGGTTCATGTTGTAGATCAGAGAGACCTAGGCATTCAGGTACATAATCCTGCAGGTTCTGGTTTTATCTGTACCTGGAATGATACAACACTGAAGGAGGCTCATTGTCCCCATATCCACTCCTGATACAGCTATCCAGTTATCCTCACTCTTCTACCCTTTTCCCATCTTCATACGCCATTCAAGTATTTATCTGGTTCCCTTTTTGAGACCTATCATGTGTTCATTAACCTGTTCTTGTGTTCTCTAACAGAACGCAGAGGCAGGTCCAATCTGTTACGCTGGGACATTCAACACAGCTATGGCAACCCAGCCAGAAACGAGATCAAACCCTTTACTCATGGCACCAAACTGATCCACGACACTTCCAGGAACCTGTTGGATGCTGCACATGACATTGTGACAGATGGCAGTCTCCCTCGACTGAGAAGTACGTTCTTTAATTCATTCACGGGATGTGGGTCTTGCTAGCTGGCCGGTATTCAAGGGCTGGTCAGCCGTTGGAAAGGCAGTGATGAGCTGAAGCCTTGAACCACTGCAGTCTGTTTGGTGTAAATACACCAACAATGCCATTCAGAAAGGAATGCCAGAATTTTGAACCAGTGACACTGAAGGCACAGCGATTTATTTCCATGTCTGAATAGTGAGTGGTTTGGAAGGGTGCTTGCAGTGGTGTTGTTCCCATGTTTCTGTTTTAAACTCCCTTTAGACTTTGAAACATGGCTTTTTGGTCGAAGCACGGCCATTGTTTTTTCCCACAAAAGCTGCTGACACATGCTGTAAGTGTGACATTGACTTGGTACGGTGCTGTAAGTAAATATTCATCCCCTTGAACACTGCTGACAAACATGATAACCAGGTCTGGCTTTAATCTGCACTAAGAATCAAGGCAAGACTAACTAAGATAAACCTGGAAGTTCTGAATGGTGCAGCCGTGTGCAAAAGGACAAGACGAGGCAGGAATGCTATGAGTATCCAAGGAGATGGAGAGTGAGTGAGCACTGAGAAGACACACTAACAGCCAGGAGATGCACCCTGGATTAACCCATCAGATAGCTGCCTGTCCCTAAATACGACGTGTCCTGGCAGCAAAATTATAAGACAAGGAGTTGGTGCACTCCAAATTGCAGCAATGAATTGCAGAACTGTATTCTGAATGAAACAAAGACAAAGTGCTGGAGAACCTCAGCAGATCTGCAGCATCAGTGGAGAGAAGAAAGAACACAGTTAATGTTTCAACCCTTTGTCACTAGAGCAGAAGCATTTAACTCTATTTTTCTCATGACAGATGCTGCCTGACCTGATGAGTTTCTCCAGCACTTAGTGTTTTTGTTTCAGATTTAAACATCTGCATTTTCTTTTAATTTTAGTGTGTTCTAAGTGAATTGGAAATGTGCCAAGATGTGAAGACAGTGGCATCTCTGGTGCCAGCTTCTGTGGATAGGAGTTGTGCAAGTAGTGATGAGATTTTGGGGATTGTACAGTCCGGGATGGAAGTCCAGAGGCGTGAGCAATGAGCTTGAGCCACCAGGTACCCACTCTGACATTCACATCGGGAATTGTTGCCATTTCGTTTCTCTCGGGCACTAGGAAAATAGGAAACTGCATATAAATAAGGAGAGACTTGTTAATATTAAGATATTAATGCATGTAAATTGGCCTCTTGCCAACAACTAGCAAGATTCTCATTTTGCCATTCAAAACTCGGGTGCAAAGTCAAGTCTTGTTTTTCTTCAATGTCAAGAATCTTGCATATTTTCCCAACTGATTCGACATTGCCCATGTCGTTCAGGGGCTAGGAATTTTCAACTCTTTGATCTAATCTTAGGCTCTGGGTCTGTTTCCAGCTGCTCCCTTCTGGTTGCTGTTCTGAATGCACACTGATAGGCTCCACCTAATGGCCAAAGTCAGTTACTGGGACTTAGCAGCACCCTGCATCAACTAATGTCATTAGATCAAGCCCAATTAATCTAAGGTATGGGTTGAGTGTTTATTTTAAAACATTGTACCCTGTAACATATTTCCTTTATATTTATTGATGTATTTTAGTTTACAAGTCACTTCAAACTGGAATGCACTGTGCTGAACATAGAAAGTTTAATATTTCAACTTGGCATTTTCAGCAAGAAAATGTCCAAGGTAACCTGACTCCAGCTTTAATATTGATTTCTATGGGAATTCCTGATTCAGTTAAAATTGTTTCACTTAACGTTTTGGTTCCATTTCTGATTGTTTTGACATTAGGTGAAGACTGCCTGTTTTGAAATATTGTTTCTTGAAGCATATAGCGATAAAACAAGTTAGAAATTGCAGATTAGCCTTCATCAGTTATATATCCAGGATAAGTACTGTTCTAATCTGTAGAAGCATCTCCTCACAAATCTTTTAAAAACATATGGTGTTCATTCCTTTCAGAACTAAAGTGTAATTCACACATGCCTAGAAACCTGGTTTACTTGACTAAATTCCTGAATGGACACTGTCATCTATTTTTTTAACATGCCCCAATGAAATCCCAGTTTGCCAAGCTTCACTGCTTGGGGTGATGTGATGTATGTAACGTAAATATTCATTTACCAGGACATGAAATTTGAACTCAAAATAATTCATTGAAGGTTTTTCAGATGCCTTCCTGAAGCCACCCTCTATCCTCACTGATACTCTTTCATGTCTTCTGTGATGTATTGCCAAATCTGAATCCTAGCAAGTACATCTATCACCATTTTCTGGCCTCCTTCACCCTTCTCCCAACTACTATTCAATGCATATATCCAATCATCCTTTCTGCAAAATGGAATTCAGAAGAGTCATTTCATTACCTTTTCCTACTGCTGCATCAGTACTATGCTTTGATATTCGGGTTTATTTTGATATTTACAAATATCTCCCTCTGTCTTTCTGCCCTTGCATTATTTGTGGACTTTTACCAGCCAGTATTTTGTAGTGATTACTTCTACAAAGTCCTTTTTAGTTGTTCTGAAGATGTGTCTCAAATTCCTTCAAGTGTTTGCTGGGCTCAGTTTCTCAGATTGTTGCCTGTGGTGCCATCAGCAAATGACTTTGGGTTTTGACAGGTTACTTGACCAAGATGAGATGCTGACCTTCTCCTTTCCATTTGCAGATGTGCATTTTGCAACAGTGTTCGCTAGATTTAGGGACATGGTGGCATAATGGAAATGGCACAAGCAACTGAGGGGCGCTGGTTAATTCTCTGGGGGCAATGGTTCAAATCCCACCACAGTTGCTGGTGGAAATTTGAATTCAATTAATTTAAATAAAACCCATTTAAAAATATGGAAGGAAAAGCTAGTTTTAGTAATGATGACCCTGAAATTATCCTTGAGTGTTGTAAAAACCTATCTTGGGACGGAACTCTGCCATCCTTACCTGGTCTGGCCTACTTTTGACTCTTAAGCCGCAGTAACATGGTCAATTCTTAACTGCTCTGAAGGAAAATTCAGGATGGAGCATAGTAATAAATGTTAGCCTTGCGAATGACTCCTGCATCTCCTGAAAGAATAACAAAAATCCAATCTGTTAACCCAGACGTATCATGTTTTTTAAGCCCTTTTAACCTTTTCATACAGGTATGGATCATCTTTCATAAGCTCTTAGCATTAGTTGCATTCCCCATTCAAACCTCAGTAAGCAAGTCAGGGAATGCTTTGGAAAGAAAGTGTGTTTCAAATTCCTGCCTTGCATTATAGTGCCCTGACTCCTCCTGCTATCCTCAAAACTAAGGTCGGGTGAGAAGTGGCCCTGCAAATAATCCGCCACTTAGGGACCTCACTTGGGGCAAAGGCATAAGACAGCCCTAGGTCTCACCTGCACCACGTGAAATTGCAGGAAGATCACGGATGGACACAGGGGCTATGCACATAATTTTACAGCAGCCCCCACCTGTATACCTGCTTGTGCCAAGGGGATCCTGTACAATTCTGCTTTTAAGCACATCTTATGCCAATCTCCAGCTCCTGTGCTAATTTTGCCTTGTGGGTCTGAGAAATTATAAACCACAATATGCCTGTACTAACCTGCATTATTAAACAAACTGCTTGATGAATAGGCTCAATCCTAATCCTATTTTAAAAATGTAGTCACAATTCTGTTGAGCCCAATAATTAAGTTGAGAGATGACGATGCAGTTGCGCTGTCCTATGTCAGTGCTCAGACTTGGAAACCGCGGCCATCCCAATGTGCAGCACTGCAGGATGAATGCTTCAATAAGATCCTTTATAATGGATAATGAGGGGGAATGTGACCATGGCTGTCCTGCAATTCAGAACCTAATTGTTGGTAACGGTTCATGTTCTAATGAGTATATTAAAAATGCAAATCCATCATTACTAATTATGAAATGTTTCACATCCATTTTATAAAGGCTGAATTGCTGCATTCCCTTCCTGCTATATAATGAGATTCAAGTTGCTAGCTGTTGACATTGTGTCTGAATGTATTCTCCATGGCAGGCTTGATTCCAAACAGGCCCGGCTTTTTAAAAGTCCGGTGGGATTGCTAATTACCTGAAGATAACCATTTTTGATAAGATGTTAAATCAGTAACAATGTGTCCCAAAACATACTGACAATTAGTGAGTAATGCATTCACTGTTTAGTTTGTTTGGGAGATAGTGGCAGCCTATTGGGTATTTGACAATGGATTCCAGCACTGGGCTCATCTTGCACCTGACATTATACATTCTCAATGAAAATGCATGAGGATTCCCAATAGCACAAAGCCCCAGACAAACTGGCCTAAGAGCATATAGCTCTGGTGTGGTGCGGGGGTTAAGAGAGTTTGGGGTGTGTGGTGTTTAGATTACAAAGGGCACTGTTGGAGAATGGTTGCTGTTACAGTTGCTATAGAGGGCTAGGGCTCCTATAATGGCCTGGGCGTCTTGCTGGTGGTTGGAGTGTGGGGTCAATTGGTGGTTAAGAGGAGCGGATAAATTGCTACGTTATACCTGAAAAATACACCTCTGCTTCTCTTGGCCCACAAGCAGTGCCTTAGAGACCCTTGCTCCTTACAGCCTTTCTCGACTCTTCCCTGAGATCAGGGTAACCCAGCAAAGGTAGAATCACTGTTAAAATAAAGGCATGCATCCTCATTAAAATACGTAAATAAGCAACTAGACAGATTTCGTTTTTATTCACTCATGGGACACTGACATCACTGCATGGGCCAACATTTATTGTTTATTTCCCTCGTTGCCTGGAGAAGGTGGTGGTGAGCTGTCTTCTTAAACTGCTGCAGTCCATGTGCTGTAGAATGCTTACATACCTTTTGGTTGTTGGCATGAATATGTCAAATTAGTTATGTTTAAGAAGAGGGTTTGATTTCTTCCGAGTGCACAGCCTGCGTCACATGCATTGACTCATACAAAGGCTGAATGACCGCAGAATCACATATCCACATTTTCTCAGTCATATC